TGCCAGAGGGAGCTTTGCCTTCGGGGCGTGTGGTGCCTCTGGCTCCCAGGTTTGGATGTTGGAAAGAGTTGTGGGGGCTCACAGATCCTCTGGGAATGGGAATGTGGCATCTGGAATCTAAAGGAAGCAGGAGATGTCATTTTTCCCCTTGCAAGGAGGGATTGTGGTGAGAGCAGCCAGGGCTAGAGCAATGCTGGAGGAGAGGGAACAGCAGTGGCTCATTCTGCATCTCCGGGAGCAGCTGGAAAGAGAGAAGGGGCTGAATGCAAGAGCTGTTTTTCATGCTGTTAGCACAAACTAAGGCAAGCTGGAACAGTCATCAGTGCTGCAAAACTTAGCCCTGAAACAAACAGAATCCCAGAATGAGTGAGAGGCACCGAAAGAGGCTGTGGATGTTTCAGGGCAAAAAAATCCAGTGGGAGCCCCCTGGGCTGGCAGGGGTGAGGGGCTCTGAGAGGAGGGGAGCACTGGCAGGGCAGGGTGAGGGATGCTTCCTGGGCTGAGCTGCTTCCAGAGCCAAGCTCCCTCGCCTGAGCCCAGGCTGGTTTCCGTGTCTCCCTGCCAAACACCACCACTCTCTCCCTGCTGGATGAGCTCCTTACGGAGGGAGCATCCCCCACAGGCATTTACCCCTCCCGGTCTGCACCAAGACCCCAGGCTCAGTAACTGGGTTGGGAGGCTGAAGTTGGAAATTTTGATTTTGTAGAGAAATATTTGCTTCTGAAGGAAACCAAGATTTTATGCCATTTATTTTTATTATTTCTATTTTTTTTCCTAGCTGAATAGGGTAAAATTGATTGTCCACAGCTAAAGTTCAGGTAGTTTTTTATGACATTCGTGTCCTGCTTTCATTCAGGTTTTCCATGGAAAACCAGCACTTTCAGAACACGAACACAACCTGCAGAACACCTGTTACCCAGTCTCTCCGGAAAAGAAAGCTGCTGTTCATGGGTTTTGGAACTGTATGTTCAGGACTCTTTTTTCATCCATCCCTGTCTCTGGGAGCATTTCCTTTCAGATCAGTTTTCATCTTCTGCATCACTTATCAAGGATCAGGACTCTTGATCCCTGTTTGAACACTTGTAGCTGCCAGTAAAGTCAGACTGGGAGATTTCTGGTTATTTTTTAGGCACTTCAAAGCAGTCTTTAGTCCTCTCCATCCTCCCAGAGGAGCTCCCTTCACACTAAGGAGAAAACGCATGACAGAAGCTTCCCCAGCAGCTCATCTCCCTCTGCCAGAGGGATCTGGGTCTGGAACAGCCTGTCCAGCTTTTCCTCCTGGCATTGAATCCTCTGCCAAGGGAAACCCCCAGCACTGTCTGGCCCTGGCAGTGCTCACTTCCATTCCCTGATGGACCACGACCAGCAGCTGCTGTGTCACCTCCTCTGCACATCCTGTCTCTGCTGCGTCTGTTGTGTCTCCTCTGCCAAGAGCCAACCTTCTTGGTGCATCTCAGATTCTCTGTCCCGAGGTGACAGTGAGTCCCTTGGTCCCTTCCCCTGGGTTTTCCTCTGCAGCCATTTGATAGTCCTAGGGAATGGGGTGAGACTGTAGAGTACGAGTCTGTCCTTTCTCACTGCTGAGAGCGACATGGCCCGTCCCACCTGGTGAGCCTTGCCCTGTGTAAGCTGCAGCCAGAGAGACCTGCAGGGACATCAGGGGAGGCACAGAGAACCTGTCAGTAATCGCACTGAGCTCCACCAGCTGATGGCCTGGAGCTGATCCCTCCTCTGGCTCTGAGGAGTCCTCCCCTGCCAGGGAAGGGACTCTCAGCTAACCCAGGCTGCTCTCCAGGGAAGGACATGGTCCATGACAACACAGTGTTGGATCCAAGATTGTGCAGCTCCTCCCCACACTCCACTGTGAATAGCTTTGCTGCAGGAAGGCTGGGCCAGCCTCTGCAAAGGAGTCATTTCCAGCTCCCAGCTCAGCACCAGTGCCCTGGTATCCCCCCACTGGCTGTCCCTTCCCTCTGTCTACAGTGTGGGAACCCAATTTCTCTGTCTCCAGGAAAGCTCTGAGAATAAAAGCTCAAATGCTCTCTCAAGAGGATGTAATTCAGCACCTGGCAGAGACAGTCTGTGGCCAGCACTTTCTTTCGTGTTTTTCCCCACAAAGAGGAAATTTTTCCTCTGTGAAAAAAACAAAACCAACCCAGCTATCAGGAATGGCAGATGGTAAATTCCACCCAGTAAATGCAAACGTTCTGTTAAAGCTGGGCCGTGTCTGCAGTGGCTCTCGCACAGGGAGGGGAGCGATGTGAGGAGGAACGTGCAGGTGACCCCTTGGGTCCTGTGGCTGAGTGGACCTCCTGACCCCAGGAGCCAAACCTCGGTGCACCTGCACAGAAAGTCACCATGCCTAGTGGTGGTTTTGGGTGGTTGGCACCTGCCTGAAGTACAGAGCTGATGCACTCCTGGGGTGTTCACTCCCTTCTTGCCAAACAAGGCTTATGTAGGAAGTCTTATTATCAAGTCCATGACATGTCCTGCAAAATGCCTGTGCCTGCTCATCCCACGTGTTCTGAGTCACAGAAGCAGTGAAGAGGAATACAGTGTTCTCAGTCAGTGCAGCAGATAAGATAACAGGACAGAGTTTTAGGATCTGGGAATCCACTCTGTGTGTCCTGAGCCAGAAACAGCCCCAAAGTGGAAGCAGCACTTTGCCTCCAGCAGCTCTCCCCTCCTGTTCTGCCAGCACAGGGAGCCCCTGCTCAGCACCAGCAGTGCAGCCCAGAGAAGGACATCTGGAGCCAAATCAAGGCACATCTGGAGCACGATGGTAACTTCTGCACTGGGAGAAGTATTAACTTTGGCTTTGGGCTCACAGGACTTCTCGTGTGCCCTCTCATGAGGCCTTTATACACCTCATAAACATGAATTATGAGAGTCTGCAGGGACCTGTGGGGACAAATTTGTCAGCTTTGAATCCCAGTGCTGCAGTAATGGAAGTACTTTCTGTGGGCACAGGCAGGGACAAGCATTTAAATGTGCCACGGAGCCTGAGGTAACAGCCTGAGGAGAAAGGCTCCTTGCTACTATGATTTACCCCACCATGCACTTCTGTCCAGTAATGGAGATGAATCATGTCTTTAGAAGCCATTTCTTTAAAATTAGCTCAGACTCAGATGCAGCAGTGAGCAGCCTCAGCCCTGGATGCTTTTACAGCTGTACAGTGAACGTGACTGCTGAGTTCTCTCCCTTCCCTCTGTCAGGCAGGAGAAGATCCCTGCAGGGATCCCTGCACAGGGAGGGTGCCAAGAATCCACCAAGCCCAGAGACTTGTCCCCAACAGCCTCCTTGGCCTCCCTGAGCAAAGGCAATGAATCATGGCAATGACCTGTGAAAATGCGCAAAATCTGCTGGTGTGCTGTTCCCAAGGATCTGAGCTTTGCTAGTAGAGCTCTGATTTCTCTGACTCTTATCAACATTGCTCTGCTGATGAGTTTACATGAGATCACATCAGATCTGTTCAGGAGATGGATCTGCATCTCAACTGGCATTTCAGCAATTGACATTTCCTCTCAAAAGGGCAAAAAAAACCAAAAGGCTAAAGAATCTTGTGAAAATGAAATGTTCCAAAAATTTTTGTCTCTAGCAGTGTCAGCATGTGAAGGTTGAAAATCTACAGAAACAAAGACTGGCGCTGCACAATTCACCTGGCTGTGCCAGAATAAGAACATTTCCTCCTTGTTTTCCCTGTCTGACCAAGAGGATCCAGCACCAACACTCTGGTCTGATGCACCACAAACCTTTGCAGCCTGGTCAAAGCAGCTCAGAATGTTTGCCAGCGGGTAATAACTGCAGCAAACCAGCTGGTGATTGCCAAAGAGCTGTGACAGAATAAATCCATCCTGCAGGAATACAGGGTGAGACTCGCCTGCCCTGGCACCTGGGGAGTCTCACTGCTGCGGGTTCGTGCTGCTCTGCCCCCTTATCCTCCCCGTGCACAGCACGGGAGTGGCAGGGAACATGGCAGAGGGGCCCGGAAGGAGCCCTGTGTCTCCCACAGCCCCTGCCAGGCTGTGCTGGAGGTGCCAGGGCACCTGCTGCCCCTGGGGCCGGGTGGGCGAGCACACTGCGGTGCCCCCACACTCCTGCTCCTGGGGACAGGCTGTGTTTTCCTGCTCACTGTCCTCTGCACTCAGACTGGGACAGGCACAGAGCTGGAAGCTCTCCGGAGGCAGAAATCTTCAGATGTTCTCTGTCTGCTAAAACTCTGGGTCGGAGAGAAAGAGATGCTGTGAAGCACTGGAGATGCTTCACCCCATGCAGCGGCTGTGCTGGGTGCCCAGAGCACAGGAGGAGAAGACAGGGGAGATCATGGCACATCCACTCTCCCTCTCTGTGCTGCTGCTTTCTAGATCTGCACGTCAGGCTGTGCCTCGCCCACGTGTGGGCTGTGATACACCTCGGGATAAGCTGGGAAGAGGTTCGTCATTGGCTCCTTCCCTGTGGTGTCTGTCAGGCAGCTCAGTACATCGCAGGGACCACTCAGCTGCTGAGCACAGCTGCTTCGCTGGAGAGTCAGAGACACTTGGAGAGCAAGGGGAAAGGCAGCCCCTGCTGCTGTGATTCTGCTAAGAAAACTCTTGGGGAGCAGAAACCTGACGGGCGAAGGACTGTGTGGGGGATAAAGCAGATTTCCAAGGATAAGTTGCAGATTGGAGAAGATCAGTGCCCAAAAGGAAATATTCACTAGGATTACTTCCTAGGTGCAGAGAGAAAGTGTGGATCTCTGGTATCTCAGCCTCCAAAGCAGCCTGTGTGGGATACATGGGACTGGAGAAGGACAGCAGCTGGGGAGTGCCCGGAGCAAAGCCAACGTGTGCTCAGTGCAGGGGGAAGGACACGTTTATCCATTTTCTCTAGTTTGCTACCATTGGGCAGATTTTACCGTGCAAGAGTGGGTTTCCTGCTGCAACCACGGACCTTAGCAGCTGAGCTGGCGAAGGCACTGAGGGGTGTGTGGCTGGTGCTGGGGCTCTGCTGCCCCAGCCATGAGCAGGCACAGCTGGTTCCCCTTGCAATACATCCCCAAGCCCTTCTGGAGAGCAGAGAACCACAGCACAACCAACTTCTTCTCTGCACTCTACAGCTTCCCCAACCAATCCTTCTTCCACAGCGACTTGGACCTGGAGGACCTGGGGGACTTTGGCAGCGGGGCCAGGTACGAGGGCGAGTCCCAGAGCCAGACAGTGAAGGCACTGCTGATCGTCGCCTACTCTGTGATCATCTGCATCTCGCTCTTTGGCAACACCCTGGTGTGCCATGTGGTGGTCAAGAGCAAGAGGATGCACTCTGCCACCAGCCTCTTCATCGCCAACCTGGCTGTTGCTGATGTGATGATCACCATTCTGAACACGCCGTTTACACTGGTGAGCCTTGGCCCCCGTGTCTGTGTGTGCCTGTCAGCTGTGTGCACAAGGACTGAGTGGGCTGGGACCAGGCTGACACCCAGAGCTCATTCTGCCCCTGGAGAGGCAGTGCCCCCACTCCCCAACACCTCTGGGCAAGTGGAGCCAGGGGCTCATCCCCCCCTCCCAGTCCCACCGTGGGGTCACTCTGCTGCAACCCTCTCCCCTCTGCCCAGGCATGGGAGCCCTTTGCCTGCTGGAGGGGAAGGAAGTGGGGACAGGTTTGCCATGGGAAAGTCAAATTAATGGCTACAAGGGGAACAAGCTCAGTCCCTGTGTAACAGTGCAGAGAAGTGCTCAGGCTGTGCTGAGCCAGGTCTGCCAGTACATCCCTCCCTGGGGCACTGCAGGTGGTACCTCCTGGGGCTGACTCTCCTTTATTTTCAGTGACTAAATAACATGGGATATAAGAGAACATTCAAAGAATGAGGTGGGGAGAGCTAAAGGCTCGTTTCTTGCCCCACTGCCACAGACCACAAACACCATGTAAGCACCTTCTGCAGCTGAATCTGACCCAGCACTCTCCTTCAAAAACCTCCAAGCCTTCCTAAGCCCCCCTGTTCATCCCATACTGTCTAACACTCTCAAGAGTGTTCTGCCTTCCAGAAGCAGGTCCCAAATCAGCCATTTGAATTCACCCTTTCTTCACCCGATTCTGTTTCCTTGGATTTCCCTACCTTGCTCCGATGGGATTTGCATCCTACAATCTGTTCAGGGAAAGACTGGTGCCCTCTTGTGTGTTTGCACACCAACAGCCACATACCAGGCAGAGAAATTAAATACCCATCAGCTCTCTCAGGAATGAGCTTTGCATCAGCTCCAGAGAACCATCACATTGCTCCAGCTCAGCCACAGCCAATGCTGTGAGACTTGTCCCTACAGGGAAATTAATTACATTAATTGAAAACAGATTAGTCTTGCCTAATTTTCTGTGTGGACAGATGCTTTGTAGTACATGTGCTTTACTTCAAATGAGCTTAATCTGCTGCAGAATGAGCTACATGAGTTTGTAATTAATATTGCACAGTCAGGAGTAACAAGGGAGTGAGGCAATTTGGCATCTCCTCTGCAGAAAAGCCACCACCAGTCACAGCTCTCTGGGAACAGGTGAGGAATTCTGCTGTTCTTCCAAGCCTCTCTGTTTGGGACCCATGCAGCTCTCAGCATCCACTGGTTCAAAGGGGCAATGTGTTCCAGGAGGGTCTGATGTGCCCTGCAGAGCTTTGTCAAGGAGCAGAGCTAAGGGTCCTTACCAGGGCTATGGCATACACTCACAGACACACACACACAGAAAAACACCGACACACGCAGAAATACGGACACATGCAGAAACACAGACACACACTCTCTCACACACACACAGAGGGCACTGCTCAAGCCATTTGCTTGTTCAGCGCAGTAAATCTCCCCTCTGTTTCAGAGTCTCTTGCACAGTCACCTTCCCCAGAAAAGCTGAGGGGAAGCACCTACAAAGCCTTGGGAAGAGGTATTACAGCATTTCTTCTGCACTGTGTCCCTTGGGGAGCCAATCTGCTGCTCACGGGCGCTGTCTGCCCCTCAGGTGCGGTTCGTGAGCAGCACATGGGTGTTCGGAGAGCTGATGTGCCACGTCAGCAGGTTCGTCCAGTACTGCTCTGTCCACGTGTCCGTGCTGACCCTCGCTGCCATCGCCCTGGACCGGCATCAGGTGAGTCGTAGGCACCACCACTGTCTGTGAGAAAATAATGCACCGAACACATAGTTGTTCCCCCCTCAAATCCCAGCACTTGGAAATCTGCTTTGCCTTGGGACTCAGGGAAGGGCGGGAGAGCTCCAGCTCTCGTGGTGATGGGAAAACCCATGTGTTTTATAGTGAGGGTGCTGAAACGTGGGCACAGGCTGCCTGGAGAGGTACAGAAAAGTACCCTGGGGGTACAGAAAGCCCCAGGGGTGCAGCGCCAAGAGCCTGCTCTGGCCCCTGGGCACTGGCTATGTGCTCCCTGCCCTCTCAGCCCCACTGCACAGCGGGAACGGGGCTGGACTCCAAACCCAGCCAGTCCATCACTGCAGGGACTTATCAGCCTCTCAGGGCTGAGGCTTCCCCCATTCCCTTGGGATGCCTGAGGTGGAAGCAGTAAGAACTATGTCAGCTCATCCAGTTCAAGGTAAGAAATTCTCCTCTCCTCCCTCTGCCTGATAGTACCCACTGGGAAAGCCTTCCAGGTCACCAAGGACAGCAGACCTGAGGGTTTCCTTGAGTGTACCACAGCCCATAATTTGTGCTTTAGCTGAGGAGTGCCAAGCTCTGGGAAGGCAGATCCAGCATGGGGAGCTTGGGCAGGCTGGATTTCCTGCAGCACTTGTTACTGAAAAGCAGCTTCTCGTGATAGATGTCGTGGCTGGATGAAGTTCAAAACAAGAACAGGCTCCACTGTGCTCATGAGGGATGTGCTCCATCTGGTGTCAGAGAACCACAGGGACTGCTGGAGCACAGCGCAGCCAGTTCTGTCTGTTTTAGCACCAAGAGTTTGACTGTCTTCAACATCACAGCTCCTGAAACCAAAGTGGTTTGATAGCGACTCGTTTCAGTCAGTAGATCCTGGGTTGTTGCAAGGCACGGCTAGGTGTCAAAAGTGTTTGTTTAACTAAGGGCAAACAGCGCCTGCCCTTAAATTCTGTGGGTTCCTCAGAGCTACTACAGCCCAAGGAGATAGAGATGGAAGTAAGGAGATGTCTCTGAGCAAAGGGAAACCAACACTTGCCTCTAAAAACATTGCTAGCCCTGAGAGGTACCACAGCAGACAGGTGCTCCAGGGGCGTTATATGACTTGATTAAGTGGATATTTATAATGAGACTAAAAAAGGCATGCATAAAACACCAAAGACTTCATCAGCCATGAATGACATGGTGGGTCTGTTTTTAACTACTGCTTCATGGCCTGATATAATCCTCCACAGTGCATGAAGCTCGGGAGACCTAACCACTGTGGTCTCTGGAGTCACAGTGCTGGGAAACCCAGGGTGTGTTTCTCTGCTCAGACTCTGGGCCAGCAGCAACACTCAATACAGTGTTGTGCCTTTCCCAGCCCTGGTGCTCCCTGAAGTCCTGTCAAATGAGCCTCTCTGCCCTTTGGCACTGGCGGGATGTGGAGCTGCTGCCACACTGCTCCCAGGGTGCCCCAGACTCTGCAGATCCTCAGGAGAGGTTGTTCTCTGCAGGTGATTATGCACCCTCTAAAGCCACGCATGTCCCTGGTGAAAGGAGGGATCTGCATCCTCATCATCTGGGTCATGGCCAGCTGCTTCTCGCTGCCTCACGCCATCTATCAGACTCTGACCAGATTTTACATCGGGTAAGACATTCAAGTGGTGCTTTTAGTCATGTGACATTTGCAGCTGAATCAAAGCCCCACAGATGCCAAGGCCAAACCTCTCCATCTGTGCTGGTAGAGCAGAAAGGGTGGTGAAAGGGAGAAGTTGTCTTTCCCTTTGCCTGGGACTATGTCTCTCAGGAAGGGACAATGACAGCAGATGGAATTGCCTCTGAGCTGATTTGGGCTCAGAGTCTGCCCTGTAATTTGGGGCAGACACAGAGGACAGGGGCTCCTCATCAGCAATGAGCACAGGTGTCAATGTGGATAATTTCTTTCTTTACCAGAGGATGTGTTTAAGATACCTCCACTGGGACCAAATGCCAAAGCTTAGAGCAGCATTTTCCATTCAAAGTGGCACGGAATGAGTTCTGCTATCTGTACCTGCACCAAAACCTGTCTGAACCTCTGAGGTGTTTGTCCTCAGGTGTGTGCAGCTGGCAGTGGAACTGAGAGCTCTCTCTTTGACCCTCAGAAACAGGACCATCCGAACAGTGTGCCTCCCCAGCTTCCCTCCTCCTGCCGATCTCTTCTGGAAGTATTTGGACTTGACTACGTTTGTCCTCTTGTATGTCCTGCCCTTGCTTGTGATCTCCGTCACATACACCACAGTGGCCAAGAAGCTCTGGCTGCGCAATGCCATCGGGGACGTCACCATGGAGCAGTACTACGCCCATCGGCGGAAGAAGAAGATGACGCTGAAGATGCTGATGGTGGTGGTGGTTGTGTTTGCCGTGTGCTGGTTTCCCCTGAACTGCTACGTGGTGCTGATCTCTTGCAGGGCCATCCACAGCAGCAACGCTCTGTACTTTGCTTTCCACTGGTTCGCCATGAGCAGCACCTGCTACAACCCCTTCATCTACTGCTGGCTGAACGAGAGCTTCCGTGCCAAGCTCAGGGCTCTGCTCTGCCTCTGCCCGTGGGCGCCGCGGGCTCAGCACCGC